TGAGATTTAAATTATTTACAAGTACATTATTTAATTATAAAATCCATTGTATTTAAGGAAAATGACACAATATTATATAAAAAAAAATATTAGAAAATATGATGTGCATTATTTAATTGTAAGATTCATTATATTTAAGCAAAATGACACACTATTATTTATAAAAAAGAAACTTATGTAACAATATAATAAATGTGCATTATTAAATTTATATTACCATATTGAGATTCATCAATTTTAAGAGTCATTATGTTTAAGCAAAATGACCTTTATACATAAAGACATTATTTTATTATTATTATTATAAGTATTGAAATGTACTTAATGATTATCTTGAATTAATAAAAAATAAGTTCTGCATGCACTATTATATACACTGCATTATTATTATATTACTTCAAATATATATGCATATGATATAATTATTAACATTATACACACTCAAAAATGGATTATGGCTTTAGATGGTCCAAATAATGTAACTATGTTTACATAGAACAATTCACTTATGTTTATCTCTTGAAATCAAAAAAGTAGTGTTGGAAACAAATTGGAAAGGTCAGTTTTCAAATTTAAACAGTTTGCTTAATTAAATTGAATAAAAGGGAGTTGTGTTGCTCCTGCAGTGCCGCATTCAGGTCAATAGGTGGAATAATATCTACATGCGCAGTTTCAAAACAACACAGGAAGGAAGATTCAAACCACAACAAGATGATATTATTGAACTTAAATAACTAAATAGATTAAAACTAAATTATGAGTGTTATGTTGATTGGACTAAACATTACATTACCTTTATGTAACTAATTTAAGTTCGCTAAAATAAACTTAACTCGGTTAACTTGGTTGCATATTGCATATTTATAAAATACCATTCATGAATATTGAATAGATTTATTTGATCAAAATGACAATAAATGATGTTGATGATTACATAACAATAGTTATACCAGTAAAATTATTATTATTATTATTATTATTATTAATGATGTAATAATAACAATAATGATAATAACAATTATTTAATCTTTTATATATTATTCATTCATTCATTCATTCATTTTTTTTTTCTTTTTGGCTTAGTCCTTTAATTTATCTGGGGTCACCACAGCAGAATAAACCGTCAACTTATCCAGCATACATTTTACACACAGGATGCCCTTCCAACTGCAACCCATCACTGGGAAACAGGAGCAACTGGAGGAAACCCATGCAAACGTGGAGAGAACATGGGAACTCCACACAGAAACGCCAACTGACCCAGTCGGGGCTCGAACCAGTGACCTTCTTGCTGTGAGGCGACAGCACTACCTACTGTGCCACCGCATCCCCCCTTTTTACAGTATGTATTCTAATAATAATAATAATAATAATTATTATTATTATTATTATTATCAAATTGTTAATGTTTTTGATCAAAATGACAATAAAATGATCATCACAACAATAACATGCTTTTATGTGCATCTTCATCTAAGCGGGGGAACCCTTGCTATAGTACAACACAATAGAATTGGATAATTTTGGTCATCATAATATGATCTGTGTATCTGTGAGATGCAGAGAGAGCCTGCAGTCATAGATGCTGGTTGGAGGACATTAACAGAGACTGAAGGCTCTCCTGCTCTCAGCGCTGGCGAAGGAGGGATCAGAGCGAGGGATGAAGGAGGAGAGAGGAGGACAAGAGCTGTCAGGCTGCATTACAAACACTGCAGCTCTACAGAGACACCATTTACAGCTACACCGCTTCTCAATCAGCGCCATGATTACAGGCCACAATACTAATGACCAGAGCACTGAGAGAATGAATGCTTCATCCTCACCTTCTGTCAAATATTATCAAATCTATTATAAAAGAGTGCAGATATCATCACTAAGCTATCAAGACATACATACTGAAAACTGCAGAATTGAGATTCTCAGTTTGACTGTAAAGCCTTCTGTTAATATTTTATGATTTACTTTTACAGTTGAAATCGGAATTATTAAACCCTCTTTTGATTTTTTTCTTTTTTAAATATTTCCCAAATGATGTTTAACAGAGCAGGGAAATTTTCACAGAATGTCTGATAATATGTTATTCTTCTGGGTAAAGTCTTATTTGTTTTATTTTGGCTAGAATAAAAGCAGTTTTGAATTTTTAAAATCCATTTTAAGGTCAAAATTATTAGCCCCTTTAAGCTACATTTCTTTCGATAGTCTACAGAACAAACCGTCCATATACAATAACTTGCCTAACCTGCCTAGTTAACATAATTAACCCAGTTAAATGTCACTTTAAGATGTATAAAAGTGTCTGGAAAAAGTATCTAGTAAAATATTATGTACCGTCATCATGTCAAGGATAAAATAAATCAGTTATTAGAAATGAGTTATTAAACTGAAAAAATCTACTCTCCGTTAAACAGAAATTGCGGAAAAAAATAAACAGGGGGGCTAATAATTCTGATTTCAACTGTATATAGTTTGTATTTAACATTTTCCACCAATATTTTTGTTTTCAAATTATTTATATTATGCATTTTTGAAAGGAATGTGAAACAATATGACAACACAAAAATACATCAAAATGGAAGTATAGTAAATTGTAAATGAGATAAATTGGGTAACACTTTAAAAAAAACAGTCCATTAATTAATGCTAGTTAATGTATTTACTAACATTAACAATTAGTAATACATTTATTACTGTATTTATTAGGGATGTAACGGTATTGTAAATACCGTCATACCGCAATATTAATTTTTTTCGATATTACCGAAGTCGCATGACTTGGTAAAACTATAGGTCTTCTGAGAAAATTTGCTCAGGCGAATGAAGCGAACGGGAGATAGCGAAAACTACAATTGCCATCAGCCCATGCTTGACCATCATCCCTTGCGGTCTGTTGTCGCTACAGATCCAGTAATGCGGAAATGGAGTGTGCTGCTAGAAGCGGGGATGAAAAGAGCTGGAAAACTCTAAGGCCCCGTTAACACTAATGCGTTTTAGTTTGAAAACGCATAAGTTTTGCTACGGTTACGCCAACCGTCCACACTACGCCGGAGTTCTCGAGCGCCGAAAACTGCTGCTCCGTCTCAGTGTGGATGATGGAAAACTGAGACATCTGAAAACGGAAGCGGGGCTGCAGACATTCGCCTCTCTGATTGGGGCTTTTCCTGAATATTAAGTAGCCTAACACGCACAGTTCAGTCCTGCATTATCTCCGTGTAAGTTCAGACTTCGCAAGTTTGATCAAGGCTGCAGTCTCTTCTTCTCAGTTTGATATGGAAAAGCAGATTATACCGAGGACACGGGTAAATCTTCAAAGGGAACAGTGTACTTTATAACTTCATTCACATCACCCTGGCTTCGTTGTTTCACTTTCTCAACAATAAAATATAAACATGATTTAAGGAACTGCCTATTTTCATTTTAATATTAGCAACTTAGACAGCAGACATGTTGAGGCGTCGTGCTGCATAAGATGAGCGTCATCTTCACTGTGTGGATATTTATAACAAAACGGAGCCGATAACAACTGCCTCCTTTCAATTTCAGTGAAAATACGAAACACACCCTCTCTTTTGCCAAAACACGTTACCTGAGAACAAGTAATAGATTCCAATGCCCAAAGTCAGGGAATATGTCGTTAGATAAAGACAACAAGATAAATGAAATATCCCGTTTAATAAATAGTGAGATTAGATCCAGCGGGAGATGCTTGATGAGAAGTCCGACTAGCAGAGCTCTGATCTGGGTAGATGGGCTGAGTGTGATTAAATGTTGAATGTGATGAGTTTTCAACAATACTAAATTGAAACTTTATTTTTTTTACATGGTTTAATAATTTTTTGTTATTAAAATTGAAGTTCCTGTTTCAAAGCTTACAGATAGATGGCTAATTTGTATTTCATTGACACTTTTGGCACTTTTTTGGAGTATTTTCATAAGTTTTGTTTTTTCCTGTAAATGATTCAATAAATACCGTACCGTGACATTCATACCGAGGTATTACCGTACCGTGAAATTCTGATACCGTTACATCCCTAGTATTTATTCATCTGTGCTAATGTTGGTTAGTCTTATTTAACAAACATTAATTAATGGACCATTCCTTTTAAAGTGTTACCATAAATTGTTACATGACATTATTGCACAGTATAAAATGTTTTATGGAAAAGTCCATAATATGGTTATTATTATTATTATTATTATTATTATTATTACTATTACTATTATTAGAAATTTGAATTAATATAATGCATAATAACGATTATTATAAATCTTTCTGTTGTTGTATATAAAATCATTATCATGAATAGTTGATAATAATACTACTCACTACTCCTACTACTACAAATAATAACAATAATTTTATACTTAATTTTCTTTTATTATCATAAAATATATTAAAAATGCAAATCAACTGAATGCAATTTAAAAACCTATGAAAATTAAATACAAATCAACAACAGCATAAAAAAACACTTTACAAATGCACTTAAAGGTGCAGTATGTAAGTGTAACACCCAGTGGTTGAACTAGGTATTGCATTCCTGGATAAACACAAATGCAAGGGCAGGTTGCCAGATTCAGGAGCCAATCTGATGATTGAGCCTAAAGGCTGATTTAAATCATGTTCTACATAAAAGCAACGACACGCGATTCAAGGAATATTTTCAAATTTAAAGTAGTTTTTGTTCTAACCAACACCTGAAATGTATATTTTAGCAACTGCTTCTATTTCTTGCAGCTGAACAACAGAAAACTGACAATGATCAGCTCATGTACATCTTGTCTGCTTTATTCAGTGCTAAATGCTAATACTGTGAGTTTGAATGCCATTTTATCCTAGTATGGGTAACTGCAGCCTGGAGAAATGGGCGTGGCACACGGTAGGGGCATGGCAAAAGGTTTTTCATTGGTCGAAATGTTTTCCGGTAGGGGCGTGGCAAAAGGTTTTTTATTGGTCAGGTTTTCTTTTCAGTCAAATGTTTTGGCCAATCAGCAATCACCAAACGCTTACACAATGGCGTCGGTATAGACGTGATGTTGACTGCTGTAAACAGACGTGTATTAAGATTTACGATTTAAACAGGTTGGTAATATGTTTAGGTGTCTGTTTTGTGTGAATATTTTGAGAGCCTTATACATGATACACACTCATCTGCAAAGTCACAAACCTCGCACAGTTTATCACGAACGTAAGTACTAGTTATTTTGCGGTATGCATTTTAATATAATTTGTTTGGGTCATATGTGATGACGTGAACAGCGATCTCTCATAGAAATCTGACACATGCCAATGTGTACGTGCAAATTAGCCTTATATATAACATCATGTTTATTTTACATCTAACACTTGTCATTTATGAACATGCATTTAGAAATATAACAAATATGTTCACTTAGAGAAAAAAAAGTCCACTAAAATCATAGTATAAAATATAGGCTAGCTAGGAACATGCATGTACATATTTGTAATTCCAATGGTTGAAAACATAAGTGGACTTTTTGCAACATTTCACAATATTTGTTGCATATTTTATGCAAGTAAAATTTAAATATAAATTTGTATGTCAAGTAATTTTATATTTTTCATCTATGCATAAGGGATGTTACTTTTTTGTTACATTTGAAACTTCTTATTTTAAACATGCTTTACTTTAAATGATTTTAATACATTACTTTTTTATGATGATTCTTGCAGATTGATAATTTATATTTTATTTGTTTACATGTTTATATACATTTTATAACATTACCCAGGACATTCCAATGTAGTGTTTCTCCAATAACTGTGAAGTCTTTGCTTATGGTAAGTTTTACAATGTACAATGACAACTGCATACTTTTGGAACTAAACATCTTTTACTTTTAGCCTTGTACATTGCTCCTGAGGTTGGGTTTGACTATTCTGAGGTGAGTCTTTGCTCAACACTTTGTTAGCTAGTATAAAAGAAGAATTTTTTATCTTTTTAGTAATTGTTTTTTTTATTTAAACAGGCTATATGACTTGCATAAGGAGATTGTGGTGTGGGTTCTTGCTTGAAGACTCAGGGTAAATAAAAATATTTTCATACAATTAAAGTGATGTCAGTTAGCACTTTGCAATTAATTTTTGTCTTCCCTCAAGGTCTCCATAAGAACAAAAAAAGACCCAGAACTGTATAGAGCTTCTTTTGGGCATCTGTACTCTCAGTTCAATGCAAATATAGCAAGTTAACAAGTTGGTTATTTATATATATATATATATATATACACACACACACACACACACACACACACACACACACACACACACACACTGGCCACTTTATTAAGTACACCTTACTACAGAGGTGTCAGGGTCATTTCTTGGAGGACCACAGCTCTGCACAGTTTTGCTCCAACCCTAATCTAACACATCTGATCCAAATAATCAAGGTGATCAAGACTCTTTTGAATGCCTCAATTATTTAGATTAGATTTGTTTGATTACAGTTGGAGCAAAACTGTGCAGAGCTGCGGTACTCCAAGAATTGACTTTGACACCTATGCCTTACTAAAATGGTGTTGGACCCCATTTGCCTTCAGAACTGCCATAATTCTTCGTGACATAGATTAAACAAGGTACTGGAAAATTTCTTAGACATTTGGTCCATATTTACATGATAGCATTACGCAAGTTTCTGCAGAATCTCCTGTTCCACCACATCCCAAACGTGCTCTATTGGATTGAGATCTTACTATATCATATCTGAGCAAATCACCCCAATTTATCCTCCTAACACTGGCTGCCTGTTAAGTTTCGTATTGAATTTAAAATATTACTTCTCACCTATAAAGCTCTAAATAATCTAGCTCCTGTTTATCTAACCAACCTTCTGTCTCGCTACAATCCAACTCGCTCTTTAAGATCTCAAAAGTCAGGGCTTCTGGTAGTACCTAGAATAGCAAAGTCGAGTAAAGGAGGTAGAGCCTTCTCCTTTATCTAAACTCTGGAATAGCCTTCCTGATAATGTCCGAGGCTCAGACACACTCTCTGTTCAAAACTAGATTAAAGACCTATCTGTTTAGTAAAGCATACACTCAATGCATCACCTAGCGGGTTCCACACTGGCTTCTGCATCTTGCTTATATACACTATGAACAGCAGCTACGCTAATTATTCTCTTTATTCTCTATTTTCACCTGGGGATACTCATCCCGAGGTCCTCAGATTATGCGGAGTCACTGATTGGACCCAAGACCAGCGACGAGATGATACCAAGGTGTCCATATACGGGACCAGGCCGTATCCTAAGCTGCTGCTGCGCTGTTGGTCATAGGGGAGTGGAGAGCACGAGACTGATTCCAGTGACGCTCCAGGGACAGACGAGTCTTCGCTGAGGCCAGCTTCCAGCCTCCACTGCTGAGACTGCAGCTCTGCACAAGACTTTTGGCCAGCGGAGAAATTAAAATGGTCGTGCCGAACTGAGTCTGGTTCTTTCAAGGTTTTTTTTCTTCACCCTCCTATCTGTAAAGTTTTTTTCCCTCTCCGCTGTCATCACTGGCTTGCATGGTTCAGGATCTAAAAAGCTACTCATCGATGAATTTGCTCTTCAGTGTTTGGACTCTCAGTAATGATTTCAAACCACACTGAACTGAGCTAAACTGAACTGAACTTAAACACTAAAAACTGAACTACCCTGATGCAGTTACTATGACCATTTATGTGAAGCTGCTTTGACACAATCTACATTGTAAAAGCGCTGTACAAATAAAGCTGAATTGAATTGAATATATGATATATTTAAAATGTCTCAAACACTGCTTTTCAATTTACAACTACCAATGTAGCAGAAATCACTTTTTAAACTAAAATTTTCCACTAGATTGTAGCACAATACCATTTATTGTGGATTGCTGCACTTGTAGGCTTGTTTTTTATTCTTAGAGTTTAAAGACACTGAAATTGCTGTGCAATCAAATTTACTACTTATTTAATCAAACTTACAACCTAATTAATTTACACATTATACTTTCCCAGTTATGGAATTACATTCCATCATAGTTGTGCTTTAGTGTCATCCTAAATGATGGGACTTAAATAGCACAAGTGTCATAAAGGCTCTTAAATGCTTAAAACCTGACAATCAGCTTGTGTTTGTAATTATCAAGTATATGTGTGTATGTGTATATACATACACATTTCATTTTATATTTACAAAATATGTATACATGCATTTCCCTTCAGCTATGGATCCAAGAGGAGGTCTTAGTGATGTATGTTTAAATTTATTTTATTTTTTCAATTTATTTTATAGTTTATTTTTTTAGTTTTCATTTTTACATTCGTCATTTATTATTTTGTGTGTGTGTGTGTGTGTGTGTGTTTCGTCTTTAATTCAGCTACCATCAAACCTGTTCTGAAAGGTTCTTTTAGATGTTTATGATGAAGGGGATGGAGCATTCCTCACACTGTTACTTGGTCAAATATATAGTAGAGTTCAAGCTCTCCAGATGTTAATCCTGTGGTTGGCTCTACAAAAACACCATTGGCTACTGTGGCAATGGGAGGAAAAGGGATGTACAGAGCATTCAGACAAGAGTTTAATGGCTTCTGCTCTATGCACTGTTACTACACAATGAATGAATGGATTTGTACTTAATGGATTGTCGTAAACTGATGGATGTATGAATTTTTAGTCAGTGGAAGGCATGTTTTTTAAGAGATTGTTTTATTTGTTTTTTGATAATTAAACAGAAATGTTTAATGAACTTGTGTCTGTGTTCTAATTAAACTGATTAATATCACTTAACATAAGTTTATTAATGAGTTAACTTTGTTATAATTCTGTGATATTTGAACAATATATATTTACCCGACATAAAATGTATTTTTCAAAATCTTTTTAATTTAAATTATTTTAGGCAATAATTTCAGTGACACAGTTGGGAAACAACTAAGTCACAATTTAAAATAGTATTGAATAAAATGCTTTTCTAAGTAGTGCATTTATAATAGCCAGTAAAAAGAACCAAAACATATCATTTGTCTAATGATATTTAAGCATTTGTATCCTTAAGAATGCTGATTTAGCAATTATTTTAATGAAACTTGTGATTACATTTAATTCATTCTTTATTCTTAACACCAGTAGCATAAAGTAGAATGATCCACCCTTAAGCTAAACAAGCAGCTTAAGTAATATGTTATTCTAATTGGCCAACGCATTTGACCGGAAATAAAACCTTTGACCAATGAAAAACCTTTTGCCTTGCCCCTACCAGGAAAAAACTTCCGACCAATAAAAAACCTTTTGCCACGCCCCTACCTTTTACCACGCCCATTTCTCCAGGCTGCAGTTACCCCCTACTTATTTTATTTGACATTTATTGTCATAGTACTGAAAGCAGCAGCAGATAGTTCACCTCAGATCTTGAAAATAAAATAAACCTTTTGAAATTGAACTTTAGAACTGTGACTCGGTGCAAATCAGCACATATCAGTGATTCAGCATCTACATTTAGTAATGTTAAAGAGGTTAAATATGTATTAATTATATTAAAAACCTTACCATATCACTGCAAATCTTGTTATGCAGCATGTTGTTAGGACACGGGTTACAATGTAACCTGCTTACCTAATGTTTACGCTCGTGACATTTATATTATTTGCTAAGTAATAACCTCATGTGAAACTACGAATCTGCGTCTCATTTCGGAATCTGCTACTGTCCACCGGAGGTCGCATTTTGGTCACAGACACATACTTTGAGAGCCTTTCTGACTGAATGTATGAAATACATGGTTTTCCACCAAGGTAACCCAGAGTGCTAAAATATAATTGGCTAAAGTGGCAGTGGGAGGGATAAAAGAATCAGAAGACAGCTGTTCCGGCACACAACTTCGGCATTGTTTTTAAATAAATAATGTTAACTTGGCATGTTTCTAAAATATCTAAAAACATGTTATGGTATTTCTATGCTTTAGAAGAGACAAAAACTTACATACAGCACCTTTAATATATCATGAGTCCACAATTACTCACTGGTCTTGGCCCACACACACACATGCACACACTACCTCTCCCACATCCAGCCTCTGCATGTGTAGGCAAAGGTAGAACACAACCATCCCACATGTTCCCAGTGTTTCTGACCTGTGTCTCTGGAATGGACGTGGCCCAGATGGTATCGCTGGGCATCTCCGTGTTCAGCCGCACTGCTTGCAGCCAGGATAGCGTGAAGACCACTGTCCCGGGGCAGTGTAAAACTGCGGTGTTTGCTCCCTATTCCACCTCCGTCCATGGTTTCACCTCTTCCTAAAGCAGGGATGGGTTTTGGGCTGGGCTGGGTGGGTGTAGTGGGTGGGATGAAGTGTTCAGTGGGCAGCCCGTGTTGGGCAGGGAGTGTGGATTGGCGCCGGAGCTCGACGGGTACGGTTCTGTTTGAGTCCACGAACACAGAGTCGTCCAGAGGCAGAGTCTGCAGGAAATGGAGGCCAGAGCTGGTGAGGGGCGTCTCGATGAGGTCCTGCCATGAACGTCGCTGGCTGGCAGACTTGCGACCCGGGGAGCTAGCACTGCTCACACTGCCCCCTTGTGTCTCAGAGAGAGGAGAGCGAGACTGGACTGTCTCTGTGGATGGTGGACGGATGTGCTGGGAGTCCTGAAACGGACTCACCTGAAAGACAGAGGGTGGGACATTATGTAGAGAAGTATGATATAGTTTAGTACAGCACAGTACAATTTGGTACAGGTCACCCTGATCAATACCCAATGATGTCACCCTGATGTGTTTCCACTGACAACAGTATCCCTAAGCCTCATTTACACTACCAGTGACTTTGTAGCAGCCTTTTGCACTGGGTGGTTATTGAAGTCGCTAGTGGGCATTCCTACTATGGTAATTGAAAGAGGGGGGGTGGGGGGGGGTGGACAGCAGTGGACAGTTAGGAGAATGATCATGTTGCCTTAGTTAATTTTATCCCCTAGCTAAGTGGTCCTCAACCACCGGTCTGTGGATCAATTGGTACCGGAGTGTTCAAGAAATCATTAATTATTTCCGTTTTATTTATTATCTGAGATCTTTTGTTTTGAAGAGTCTTTCATTTTGAAAAATGACCGT